CTTTCAATTGCCAATCATGCAACTTCCATTCCAATTTTCTTTTCCCAAATCATGACAAGAATTTAATTAATACTAGAAACAAATGATCCAAAGTTTATAGACATTAACATGCTGAATAAGTAAACTTCACAGGTATACCTCAAGTAGCTTATTCCTGCTTAACGATTTAAGCCAACCGAAACAAGATTTTGTACTTTCTGACTATTCATTTGAAAAAATAGCACTGCCACTATGCGATGAATATGCAACTAGGCAAACTAAAGGGCTTCTTTACCTTTCTTTCGTAGCTTCCAGAAACGGGGAAAGGCCGAATTGTAGCAGTATCGACTTCGCCAGTCGGTAGAGGTACAGCAGGATTGCTATTGATAAACGGAATTCCACTTTTATCAGGCACCATGGGGCTGGTGGCAGGAAACATTTCACTTGGTGCAGGACTAGGTGAAGTGACATCTCTAGGCCTAAAAGGCCAAGGAAATGCTGGAGAAGACGCCACGACGCCACCAGAACTTCGGGGTGGCGCCGCCATTGGGGACAGATCAGGTGGTGATGAGGCCTGATTTACAGGCGGGGCTGACAAAGTGACCTGAACAGCAAATTTTTGGCCTTCTTGACATGCTTTGTTAGAGCCATTGTTGAATGAGAAGTAGAAGAAACCTTTTCTTGAAGGGTGCCACTAAATTTCACAAGAAAACAAGAAAATTGTTAGTAATATTTTACATCCATTCTTGAATAAAACATGCACAGTAGGAAAATTTACTGACAAACTCGTTTCATGGGTTCACTTTTTAGTGAGTAAACCACTATTTTTTTTTAAAAAAAAGAAGATGGTAATAATAAGCAAGTAATAGAGCTAGTTTGCATCCATTCTTGAATTAGACGCTCATGCCAGAAAAGTTACCATCAAATTGAAAACGTGGTGCCGTTTTTTAGTTAGTAGCAGTGCATTTCTTTAAGAAGATGGAATTAGTAATCAGCAAAGTACATGGAGAATATCGGTCCAGCTTATAACTAAATTACAATAATACACCCCGTTTATTTCTCCAAGAACTCTAAAGTTACATCTTGCACGAAAATACACACACATGCAGAAGGAAAGAGCGAATTACTGTGTAAGAAGTGGAATTGGATTTGGTGAGAAGAGTGGCTTGCTTGAAGTTGCAGAGACTGAAGGCTTCATGGTTCTGGAAAATGTAGAGGTTGTAGTGATACTTGTGCTGAAAAACTGAAAATCAAGAAAGACAGACACCAAAGTTAATTTAATTTCGTGACAATGTTATATATTATGATATTGGTAAATAAACAATGAATTAGAGTTTCTGAAGGAGGGATCATGTGATGACTGCTTAGTACTTACTGATAGAGTCTCCAATTTGAACAGTAGGATTTCTCCATTCTGAGACACCATCAACTACAACTGTTGCCTGTTGAGCAATTTGGAAATGTAGAATCACAAAAACAAGACTGAAGAAAAATCCCAACATGGATGGAGCTCCCATTTAGCTCTTACTATATTCTTGTCTTTGTGAATCAAGAAAATGGTCTGTTAAAAAAAGTAGCCGGAGAAGTGTGTGTTTGTGCAGGTGCAGTATCACACTGTGTTGTGTGAGTGTGCTTGCTGGTGGACTGTGAAGTAGGGTGGAGGGGTTTTAAAGAGTTGTCAGCGGTGTTTGGCTTTTCACGGGAAGAGTTTGAATGGTGGGCACAATGTGGTACTGTGACATTGTAGAATGTGTAGCATTTGATAATAGCAATTAGAGTCATGTTTTTTACAGTAAAAGGTGGAATGATTTTGTCTGTGAATAAATTTTTTTGAAAACAGAATGCAAAGAACAGTGGGATTATGTGTGTGAAATTTTGGGTGGTGGTGATGAGTGATGATGGGGATTATTATTCTAAAATGATTAGGTTTGTGATTATCAATCTGCAAGAAATAATCTCTAATGTGCAACTTTAATACTGTTATGATTATTAAACTTTTGCTTTTTGGGTTTGTTGGGGATTCCAATCTTTTCTTTCTTTATTGACTCACTGGACATTCCTTTTGAGGTTTTGTTAATCTTCAATATATTTTTTCCTTTATGCAACGTCCTAAGATTCTCTTATGCTAATGCTTGAAGGAATAAAATGTATGAAGAAGCATTCCAAGAATATGCAAATTAAGTATAATACCCAAAGAAACATCTCTAGAGACAAACTTCAGGCAGACAAGCCAAGGTTTCTACTGCCATTACTTCATGCATGATTTTGTTTGCCACTGGGGTCATGTTTTATATTTACCCGTGACATAATCTTAGATTTCTAGATCACTAATAGATCCATATACAAGCTTAAGTTTTTTATTTTTAAACAAAATATGAAAAAAATATTAGTATTATGTAGTTTGTTGGAAATCGTCCAACACTAAGGTCCGTTTAGAAACTCATTTTTCTCCAAAAAAAATTACGTTTTTTGTGAATATATTTTTTAATCACCTTTTTATCTTATATACGTCAAATCGCTGTACTGCATTTTCCTTACAAAAACTTCAAAAAATAGCAATTCATATGCAAGCTTAAATTTTTATGTTTGCAAGGATTCAAGCAACCTATTGGTAAATCTCAACCTTTGAAATTGAGTTTTGTAATGAGTTTTGCCGAGGTAAATATTACGAATAAAGATAAGATTTCGGGTGCACTTCTGGTGCCCGAACAAGATTAATATGGGTATCAATGATTAGAATTTAGAAAATTTCTTGACTTCTGTTTACCAAATGGAATCTAGTCCCTGTATGCTCTTGACCACGAAAGGAAAAAGATTTTTTTTTCTTTTCTTTTTGCTTCTCTTTGTATAGATATTTAAGATTTTCTATTGAGCTGATGATATTTTAGAGTAAATTATGCGAGTCTCGTGTCTTGTGTATGACTAAGGAGACAAACACACTGATACCGACACTAACCAGGCTGATTAACCAGGCTCATCCCATATCCAAGGAATGTAGATCCATCATACCTTCTGCTTGAATGTAGATCCGTCATACCTTCTGCTTGTATCTGGTGATTCTTCAGACGAATTGTACCACAATCAGTCAGGGAATATCAACAGTTCACTGTTTGAAATCTTGTCCAGTAATGGCAGTCTCCCATCTTAATATGCTGCTGCAAAGTTGACAAGTGATGTCTACTTAAATCTTGGGTAAATCTGTTCAGGTAAAACTTTCCTTTTAATTCAGCTCTAAAATCGTAGTGGAACTTGTGAGCTGGAAAATGAGACCCCTTGGAATCATGGTTCAAAGTCGCGGTCACGGTCACGACTCGGACCGTTCCACATCTGTTTCGGTATATTGATTGTAGTTTCGACGAGACATAAATTTTTGAAATATTTAATATTCTAAAAATTGTAAAAAAAATATAATAATTAAAAATTAGCAAAAATAATAAAAAATCGAGTTGACTCGAGATGACTTGGGATGACTCAGGACAACTCGGCTGTTTCTATCTATCTCGGAGACGTCTCAGTCGAGTTCTCCATGATTCGGCCAAAATCTCGGCGATTCATTATTTCGAAATCATCTCGTTCCGATATCGGACCGAGAAGCCCCGTTCCAGTGGTGTCTCGGCTGAGTCGTCTAGATTTTGGCCGAGTCTTTGAACCATGCTTGGAATCCATCTTCAAGACCATCTAGATGAAGATTCAATGGTTTTTGGGCCACAATCCTGCTGAATGAGTTCAATGAAAACAACCTAATTTCAGATTTCACAAGCGAGCAGCAAAATCAGAAGTGCAATACTCTCATCTCCTCGGGTAAGCTGTCCAATTAAGAAAATGAAAAAACCCCTTAGGTCAGAGGGTTTTGAGTACTGCCAGACTGAAATCCTTCTTATGAAATGCTGGACCACGACTTACTAACTGCATGACCCCTAACACCAAAAGAATAGAAATTTCCCCTTTATAAACCAAGACAAGGACTAGAGGACAAAAATTGTGGCCAGAGGAGTGAGGAGAGGACTTCGAAATGTCCATTTCTACAGGGCTCGGTTTACAATTTCTCATTAACTAATGAAAAACGGATAGATTATCATCGGAAAGGCTTCGTACTTTGAGGAAGCTCAGTAAGCTAACAAATTAGTAGTAAATACAGCAGAGTTCAAATCAATGCAAAGATATTCAGACCCTTAAGAGAAGAGAAAGTTAAATGTAACACAAAGAACCCACATAATTGGCTGGAGAGAAAGTGACCACATTTCAGTATGCGAATAATGTAGGGTTATACACAAACAAGCATGAAAGAAAGACAAGGTCATAATTCTGGGAAGTTGTATCAAGCAGGCATTTGTCAACTTTTACCTACGGTAGCCAAGAGGTTGTACACAAACGAGCATGAAGGAAAGACAAGGCCACCGTTTTAGGAAGTTGTATCAAGCTAGCATTTGTCAAATTTCACCACAGCAGCTTATAAGTTGTCGTTTCCATCCTCGAATTCTTCCGCCCAGCTTTCATGAATTGGCAGCAAATATAGATAGAAGACACATAGTTCACATGAAGAAAAATTACATACATGGTATCAATTTCGGTCTGAAATGGATCCAACCAACATCTCCACTTGCTATATTGATGATTCCCAGCTCATAATTTCAAACCTCAATCAAGTAGAGCAACTCATGCACTGGTCAGCAAGAAACAATCAAGAACAATCGCTTTCCTTGGGGACCCAGGAACAGAAACTTTTCTTGGTGCAAATGGAATTTTACAGAAGAAGTGATATCCTCCTGCTTTTAGTCCTCAGATCGAAGGGACATGCGTACACGGATCAGAGGCAACAGAAATGCCTTTACGGGCTGCGCCGTGCATTTATTTCCCCAGATGCTTCAGATTGTGAGCGCCTAGCACTAAATCTTAGCATGTCAACAGTGCAAATTGAATGCATTTTCTAGTTAAAAAGTAACAATTCCCTTCGAGTTCTGGCATGCTAAAGGAAGAAAGTCCGTACAACTTAAAATAATCTATCTACTTGATTAAAAGTGTAACCGAACGTTTCAATGACAGACTTCATTAGGACATAATAATTTTATATATTTCCCTTGACATTAGCAACTTGGGGAACTACAGCTTTGCATTGCGTAACTAAGTACATAGAGCGAACGAACCTGTCTCTGTTGACGTTTGCCATTCCAACTATCTATTACAGATCCTAGATTTGGTAAGAGATTGGAACCCATTAGAGTATAAGCCATTTCAATTTACAGCAAGAATCACTTAATCTCTCAAAGGGCTAGAGAAAACACTCAAGATTAACCAGTAACCCTTCCACTGGACTGAAGCTCAACTAAGAATACTTATCCACAATCAATGACCACAACTGGATCTTGCAACCAATGCTAAGATACGTTCAATTTCCTTTTCACATCAAGTGCATAACAGAAAGTCACCATTCCATAGACCGAACTCTCCGCAGAATGCGTGCTGGTCTTCGCTTCTCCACAACAGGGATCACTTTCTCCTTTAGCTGTATCAAAAATAAATTACCCAGTCAGTATCTGAAGATTTTCTTGCCATATACCATTCTAGCCTTGGCTGATCTACTCCTTCATCTTAGGGATAAATAAAGCACTTAGCAGTGAGTTCATTTCCATGGTGAAATTAAATTAGTTATCAACTAAAAAACTCAGCAAGCATGTCATCCTTCAGAGATCATGTTCATTACGTTATTCTTCCATGTGGCTATTCATCAAAGGATCTTAGAGCAATTTTTCAGGTCCTACTACTCTATATATGTATTGTTGACAAAAGCTTATTCTTTTCCCCCTTCACACATAGCAGGTAACAAATCTTGCATTTGGAATGAAGTAAAAACCAGAGGAACACAACAAGGACCACCTATTTCCGCTGCATTTGTCCTCAATCCATCAACCTATTCATCTATCTCAGTCCATCATGGAACAGGATAGCTTAAGGAACCTCCTAAGAGCCTTAAATGCCCAACAAGAGTTATTATATAAGAATAGTTCTAACACTGCTTGTTTCAATGTAGATTCTGGTCGACCCAGCCTATTTGTTCACTACGGTGCAAGCATCCTTATCAATCTACTCTAAATGGGCCAGTCATCTTGTATTCATATGCTCAAAAAAAAAAAAACTCAAAAATGTTCATGATGTGGGAAGAAGAGTATTATTTTATCAAATGTGGACTAAGAAGCATGGACACAGTACAGCATATGAATACAACATGACATAGACAAAACCAAGAAATAATTATCCTGAAACCAAAGAAATTATATGCAGACATCGAATAAAATCTTCTACGAGTATGTACACGATTAATGCTAATTTCCAATTGTATCTATATATTCTAGGTGTGTATAATATTTGAATAACCAAAACTTGTGACTTCTAGAAATACTTATGGTCAAAGGGATAATAGCATTTTCTGTATCTTTTAGCCTCACATTTTTCATGGTCAAAGCCTGATTCATACAATTTATAGGCAAGTTTCTCTGATTATGTCAAAATATTAAAGACATCTTCACAACTCTTTATCACCAATCGCTGTAAATGATATATTCTATACTACTTTACATGTTTGTAGCTCATGTTAATCTATGTTAAAAGATAGAGTCACTTGCTACACCTCAATAATGCTTAAGATATTTGGTCAAGAAGTGTTTATTGTTTTCTTTATTTTTTTTCACCCCAATCTTTTACACGGTCAAAAAAGTGTTGCACATGTCCAAGAATGTCAAATGTGTGACGCATCCAGCAAAGGCATGTTCTTATCCTCGATGTATCAGTTAGACAGATGCAATCAAGTTGGGCTGAAACTCTATTTGGCTTTCAAAAATAGATTTCCAAATTTGACCGACTTGATCCATTTTGTTGAGTCTGCTTAAGTTCGAACGCAATAAGCATTCCAGACTTTCAACCTACCTTCAATTTCACTGAACAAATGCAGAAATATTAAACAAAATTCCACATACTCGATTACCTGACGACTATCAAATTACAGATTTTTGACCAGATACCACTGTAAAAAGAATAGTACAGGTTCCCCACATCTTGGTTAGCAGAGCCATTCACAAGATTTATCATTAGGAGGAAAAAAAAGAAGAGCAAAGGAAGATAAACTCAAGATATGGCCGGAAGGTTGTGACATTGATGGTACAATAATGGCTTCTTATCTTCTACTCCTTGAAAATCATGATAGAGAAAACGGCGAGGTGGTTGTGTGAGTCAACCCCACTGGTCAACTTTTTGCAAACCATGAGTAATTACTATAGCGAGGGAGGTTGCCAGCAGATATTAAAAAATTAAGGGAGAGAAGAAATGGGATAAGCGAAAGAAGTGGGGTGGAGGGTAAAAGACAGATAAAAAAGAGGGAGTGCGAAGCTGAAGTGGTTTAAGATAGTGTTGAAGGTCTTACCCCCCTTGCCACAAGTGCTTAAGGTAACTTTTTTTTTTCGTGCCTAAGTTAAATTGTAAATAATAGGTATTTCACATATATTCAGCATATACAGGAACAGAGACAGTTAAGGTAGTAGACCCTGCTCTAATGGCTCAAGCTCCAACGTCAAATAAATCGAGCATTGCAGAATAACCCAAGTCAAGCAATGAGCTGCTTCCCAGCAGCTCAGCTAGGTTGGTCCAGCCATGGGTGCTTACCATTTTTGTAAAGAAGATGGAAAAAACCTATAACATTCAATGCTTTGCTCCCATCTCCACCCCCCCCCCCTTCCCAAAAAGGAAAACCAAAAAAAAGTCCCAAGAATAATAAACATTACAGAAAGAGGACATCCCCCTTAACATTTATATATGGTCAAGAACTGAATAGGTTACTCGTGAAAAGTAAAATGAAGTGACACAATCGATATCCAAATCCAAGACAAGCTTGGAAGTAAAACAGGCTAAACAGACTTTAGCCCTCAAAGTCTGCATCTACAGATCCTATTGAACACCAATATTAGTGTTCTTCCATCATTTTCCCACCATGTCAAAACTACAATTCAGCCTTGCTTTTACACCATCCGGAAGGGGGAGACACATACACATTTCCTATCAGGGAATGATTAATCAACCTCCTAACTCTCAAAAATGGTTTACAAAGTTATTGACTCTTTATCCACCATCAGTCTGTGATTGCAGCCTCTGAGTACTCTAGCCTAGGAGTAAGATATTTACAGGAGATCTCTTCATAACTACCTACCACAAAATTAAGCAGATTATTTGAAGATGTATGAGGCCGGTAAAGTCAAGTTGCCTCTCAAGTATTAAAAGATCAAAGACTGGGATCTCTTGAAACTTAAGTGGCAAATGAGGTGAAAAGTTTGTTTTGCAGTCAAAGCAATCAACAAGAAGATGAACTCAATTCGGATCCATTCTACCTCAGTGAAACAGTTTATTCAACTCTAGCATGATAGCTTCATAACAATATTCTGTAGCAAAATAAAAAAAAAATGGATATAAGAGATAAGACTCATACCAGCTTGCATCTTTCCTTTGTTCTCTCAGCCTGCAAATTGAAATTTTCAGATAAATTATTTAGTCATTTTAAAAATTGATACAGCAGACTTCTAAGGAGAAGATTTTATATGCTCTACACCCATGGAATGCATACAGAGATAAAGAAGTACAAATATAGAAAACGAGAGAGAGAGAGGGAGAGGAGGAGAGAGAGGTGTATGAAAGAGAAATTAGATCACCAAGTTCTTAATCAGTTTCAAACCAATGTCTAACAGATGAAAGCAAAGAAGTCATTTGACCAGTTGATAAATAATTAAGTACTCACACTAAGAATTAACCAATGGCATGCAAATAATTAAATCTCATAGTTTCTTTATCCAAAAAAAATGGTCTTCTTCAGTTAAAAAAGGGTAAACAGTGCCAAGTTCACAAGCATGTTCGATTTAGAATAATAAAAAAGATTCACAAGGTAAATAAAAAATAATAATAATTACCAACAAATATTGATTAATTCAAAAAAGACATCCATTTTCCTTTGAGAAAACATATATTTTTTTTAAATACACAAAAAGTCATTTCGATTGCTCTAAAAGCAACCATACTATCAATGTGAACACCACTAATGAGTGAAGAAGTTTTAAATAATTAAGCACCCACCCACTCCTCCCCACAGAAAATATAAGTAAAACATACAAATTAAACAAAAGGGAAATTTTGAGACTCAACTCTAAAACTCTTTTATGGTACACAGATCATTCAAAACTGTAGATAATTGAAATTTGGAAAAAGATGGAAATGGAGAGTAAAAGTACATAATATTGGAGAAATATCTCATATAACATGAACTTAGCATGTTCCTACGCAGTACCTTTGTTGAAATCTGCAATTCTGCATCTCCCAACAGTGTGCTTCCACGAGGGCAATGTAAGCTCTACATAGGATTGTTATAACTAATAATTTCTAATTCCCTTTCCTAAAGGACAGAAACAGGAAAGTTACAGCGAGTGTCCCACTGGATCAGGAGCCTCCGCCACAGTCTAATGTGTTAAAAGATGGACACTGAACCTATGGCCACCACATTCTGACGTCATGAATAAAAGTCTAAGAAGAGTAATGTGAATTTGTTACAAAATGACGTCAAGAGAAGTAAGATGCAAAACGGCAACGTTGTAGGCTGCCATGGCTGTGTTGTATGACACCAATAGGAGTCCTGAGATATCTAGTCAAATTCACTGCAACAGGTAATATATACTACAATGGGAAGGAATTTTCGACAATGATACCTAACATTGATTATTAAGGTTGTCTGTTTCAGGAAGACAAATTATAGGACATCAATGAATTGCATAGATGACCAACTAGACACCTTAACGACCAATAAAGTTATCACATTCTCGAAGTGATCAGTCCATTCCATACTCCTTGTGCTTACCAGTGACAAGTAAAAATCACCAACATCTTCAGAGTCGACTCTTTAAAACAACTTTTGACTCCTACTATACATCTTTAAACACATAATTACTACAACAGCTGTTGCTTCTATCATTAAATGAGATAAATTGCTGGACTTGACTTTCTAAAAAGGTACCCTTGTAGAGTCCATGCAAAATTCTAAACACACAATCATGACTGATTTATCCACTTTCAATAAGCACCCTCTGTTTTTAGAAAAAATTCAACCCTATTATCCTTTCAACTCTATGCATTGATCATGGTGTCAAGAATAAACCCAAAATTACATTTTGTCATCAAAGCTTCAAACTGGAAAACAAAACACTTTGCCAAAGCCAAGCGAAATGCGACGGTAATAGCATTGCATTACCTTTTCTTTCAAGAGCTGCTCATTCTCTTCTTCCAGTCTCACTGCCATGGCCTCCAATTCAACTTGGTACGCCTGCAGCAACCAAAAACCATCATTGGTAACAGTATAGGCGCTAAAAAAATTCCCGAAATTCTCAACAATGAGAAAAGTATTCATCTTTGTTTTTTTTAAAGAAAAATCACCTGTTTTCGCTCCCTAGACCTGGCAGCCGACTCCCTATTCTTAATCATCCTCCTCTGCCTCTGCTGCGCTGCTTTATCCATTGGCTCCAATAAACTCGACGCTCTTCTCTTCCCTCTCCCTCCTCCTCCTCCTAGTCCTCCACTCCCCATCGTCTCCAAACCTCCTGCACTTGCATACCCCAGCCCTCCCCCACTTTCCACACTCCCCTGCCTCGACATATACGGACTATCAAAAGCAAACATTCCCCCACTCGTCCCCGCGACCGCAGCAGCCTCCACCTTCACCTCCCCCTCCACTCCTGCCGCCGCAGCAACAGCCGATTCCTCCACTGCTCCAGCCTTTACCAAAAAATCCTCCAATGTCATCATCTCATCCATTGCCTCCTCCTTAGGCTCCACTCTCCTCGCCGGCTCGCTCGCTGCCGTCTTCCCCGCCACAATCTCTCTCCACACATCATCCACCGTCTTCTTCCTCACCGGCGCCGGCGAGATGGGCGTGATCGCTCCGGAAGCATCCAAAAGCGTAATTTCCGCATTCAACAAAGTACTCTCAGTCGTCGTCGCAGAAACAGCTGCCGCAGCATTTGGAGAGTTTTGATAATGATGATGATTGCGGAAATTATGGAAATCAGATTTGGAAAGCGAATTCCGACGGAGTTCGGAGTTATGAGATGAAGTCGCCGCCGAAGTTGAAGAAGCCATGAGCTTCGACGTCGCCATTTCTGTCAACGGAGTCACGAATTTCTAGGGTTTCTTCGATCGGAGGAATGGTAGTAGGACATAATAGTACGGAGATGGGAGGGCGATCATGTGAGTGATTATGAGTGCCAGTTAGTGTATGTGTGAGAGAGAGAGATAGAGTTGATGTGTGAATTTGTATGGTTTTAAGTGCGTGAGTGTGTTTTTTTCTAGGGTTTTGGGAAATTTTGATTATTGGTTAGATAGACCGGCTGATGATTGATTATTTGTTGTTGTCTGTACTTTTTTTTGTCGCCGGGAAATGACTCAGGATTTCTCGTTCTGGTCAAGCGGCCGTTAAATAAAAGTTAAAAGTTAGTTTACTTCCTGAACCATGCCTTCATTTGTACCCCATCATGTTGTATGATACCAGCTGAGCAATCCGGTTCGACTTTCAAATTTCGGTTCCAATCTCATCCTCTTGCGTATTAGTTAGACAAAACTAGTCGTACCAGTCTCTAAACTATTGTCATTGCACCATTTTAGTCCCTCAATAACATATTATCACAGATAAGCTCCTTAATAAAATAGTGTCACGTCTGAGGTTTTTTTTTTTTTGGGTCAAATTTACTCTTTAGAGTCAACAAAATGAGAGGTAAAAGTGTGTGGAAAGCCCTTAAATTATTCATGTTGTCAAGTTTTAATCTCTAATCTAAATTTTGCCTTAGAGTAGCCCATGGACTATTTAAGTAAATACTTTCAATCTTATGATCATTTTAGTCGTAAGTGCAACCGAAATTAAAAGGTGTTTTTGCCCAAATACTTAATATAATCATTGGGACCAGAATCGAAAGGGTGAAGATGAAAAATACACTTCATTATTTAATATTGCAAAAATAATATAGAAAATCAAAACTTGAAAATATTATGATAACACCAGACCAGTAACGTAGCCTTCAAAGCCCAACTTTTTCATTATTGTAATGCTTCAGTTACTCCAGTCTGCTATGCTTTCAGCAATTGATGCATTTCCGTAAGTGTTGATTCGTACGCTATTTTAACTAAAGTTTTTTAAGTAATTCAGGAAAACATGATAGGGACAAGTCCATATACTAGAAAGATGCAGTTTTTCAAGTTTGTACTTTGTATAGATAATTTGAGTGACATGATTTTCGTTTTTTTTGGTACTATTTTAGTTCTATTCAAAATGACTTTTTCTGACATTTTTTTTATACGAGTGTGGGGCTTTTTTTTTGCTTTATGGGTTTCCTTCCAAAATTCTATTTAGTCTAATATATACATTACAGGGATATGATTTAGGGGCGCTGCTTCATTTGAGTTTGCGCACTTTGCTTCATTTGAGTTAAAGAGTTTTGACTTTTTGAGTTCATCATAAACTTCTACAAGTATTTTCTTGAGTCAACTTTAGGATATCGCCACATGACATTCATAGACCTTTAAGATGTGTTTATACCAAGAATTAGAGGAGAAGAATATGGACTTTCCCTAAATTCATCAACAATTTATCATGCTCAAGTCCCATTAAAACCGTCAATAAAAGTACTGCATACCATCAAGGATACAAATACAATCAAATGAATCTCATCAACATTTGGATTTGCAATTTTGCAGAACCAAAAAGAGTGGCGCTAATCCCCGAGCCGCAAGCGGTACAAGAAATCTCCAGCAATGAATCTAGTGATGGTAAAATGAAGTGTTTTCTTCTTCTTAACCCTTCCAATTCTGGTCACAATAGTTATATTAAGTGGTTTGATACCAATGTTCTTTGATTCTGGCTGCACTTAGAATAGTTGAAAGTATATATTTTTAAGGGATAATTTCAGAAACCTCCCCTGAGGTTTCTGACAGTCTCACTTACTTCCTCTGAACTTTGCAAAATATCAGATACCTCCCTTGTCAGATTATTGGGCCCTATTTGTGATATCATTGATGATAAATTGATAGATATACCCTCATAACTTATGATATATTTTGAAGCTATTTTGACAGAATTGGTTAAATGAGTAATAGAGATATAACTTTTGATATAACTTATGATATACTTTATATTCTACTTTACACTTTTTATTCGCAGTACAATCACCAATGAAGAGTTTAGCACTAGTGTTACCTTTCTCTAAAGTCATGGATTTCATGTTTTTTTTTTGTAAGACAATTATCTAGTGTAACTCATTACTTATATTTGGGTAAATTTAGTTTTCAAAAATTCAATGACGTAAATTGTATATTACATCATCTCATAAAGTAATGCGACACAATTTGGGTTATTGAATTTTTTGAAAATCGGATTTACCTAAGTTCTGGTATTCAAACGAAACTTGTTGAATAAATTTGACTAACTACAATGTGAATTAATTTTTTTTTAAAAAAAATCTCAACTAAAGTATCTAGCACTAAATGAAATGAAGTATCTTGCTACTTCATTTCATTTTCCACAAAGAAAATCGCAAAAAGAGTTAGTAAACTATTGAGAATTTGATTATTTGATCGATACACTATTTATTTAACTGCAATTGCCATTCACTCAATTAACCAAATAGTGAAAAAAATTTTGTGACTTAACTAGTAAAAGTTTATACTTTTAATCACTCAAATAATATTTTTTATGACTTAACTAATAAAAATTTATACTTTTAATCACTCAAATTATAAAACTATACATTTTTTTATATCACCAGAAGTATGTTTCAATTAATTGAATGATCATATTAGCTACATAAATGTCTAATAGCTAAAACAAAAAAATATAAATAGCATTGTAACATTGCTTGAAGAAGCCATTTGCACTTGTCTCTATCTGGTTCAACTTATTACTTCTTGTTTTGGCTTTTGCTTTAGCTCAAGTTGTGGATAAGCAAAAAGGGCATATGTGGAACACAAATATCATCTCACTCCTCAAAATATTTTTTTAATGCTCATTTTTCTGACATGGGCTGATCTTGTTACTCCAACTATAAGTTCAGGGGAGGTATCTGATATTTTGCAAAGTTCAGGGGAGGTGAGTGAGACTGTCAGAAACCTCAGGGGAGGTTTCTGAAATTATCCATATTTTTAATTGTTCAGGGGTTGTTCTAAGACAAAATTTAGATTAGCAGCTAAAACTTGACAACTCTCTCTTTTAGTACTACTCAATCTATTTCTCTCCCTAAAAGATAGTGTTGTGACGGCCCCACCTCTCCCTAAGGCGTACCAAAGGGTTCGGCGGACCGCCTGCCCAGCTCTCGCCAGGACTCACTCACTATCTCAATCGAATCGTATATACACAACCATGCACCATAAACAATATTCACGATTCAACTTATAATTTACATTGATAGGAATCGAGTTTCAAAGTCTTAATACACCAAACTAGTACAAATGTATACAATCCAAGTACAACATATTTCGTTCGAGGAATAGCGCGAGTATAAGACCAAAAAGTCAAAAGTCAAAACAAAAGGCTACACTAGTCTTTTACAAGTCTCTCGCGTTACTCGTACCCCTGTAAGGAAAACAAACTAACGGGGTGAGCCAAAGCTCAGTGGAGTTCCCAAATATCAAATTGGTCAGCAACCAAGTTATAGTAAAATAAAAGTGAAGTAGCGAGCAAGCAAGTCAAATCAGGGAAATAATACTTCAGCTAGTCAAGTAGTATTAGATGCACATTCACATATAAGGATACGGTATTCATGTTACGGCTCCATTCCAGCTTGGTCAAGTGGTAGTTGACACTCCGTCAACTTTCAAGTAATTCCAAGTCCAAATAAACTCCGCTACACGCCAATTTCCGTCCACCGATCAACCCCCTATCCCGGGCCCGCACGCCATACAAACATGGGTGGTAATACTCGAGTATACCGTTAGTCGAGGAGATAACACTCCACTCGACATTACAAGTGACCCAGGGTTTGTTATCTAATCGACCAGGCCCTTGTCGGCTCGACTCGATTAACTCGCCACAGGGTTTCTGGAATTTCAGGCAAGATAAAATTCAAGTACATGTACAACAAGTCAAGTATGATCAATAGCAAGAACAGGTCATATTAGGGCAAGTGCGATAAAGTACACCCTTGCCCTTTCATTCATTGTCATGTAATCACGCAAGTCAAGTAGGGAGTACACATATCAAGTACAATCGGATATTTGGAAGCACTCACCACAATAGTGCTTCTAGTTTTCGCGTCGAGGTGGTACTCCGGGTTGGGAGTCCAAATCTGCGATAAAACTTTACTTGAGAACTTTGAAATCAACCAAGGTTCGAAACTTAAGCGTTTCGTTCAATAAGAATCAAGAATTTGAAAGTCACTGGAGAAGAGTCGTGAAATAGTTGCTCGCTCTTTAAACTGAAAAATTTGATAACATTTTTGCTTGAAGATGACTCTTGAGTCAAAAGTGCAAGTAAAACGGTTTCGTAATGTTTCATATCGTTTTCCTAAGGGTACAAGTTCGACCAATTCCTAACATATAACCCTTGATAAACAAATGACAAAGGTCCTCGATAGTTCAAGGATTAATCACTTAACCTTCACTCAAGTCGCAAAGATAGTTTCCTAGACTTCGAGTAAAAATTCGGACAGCGTGCCCTTTGTGTTTACCTAATTTCCAGCCATTTAGGCTTCATTATTTTTCTTCAACAACATCCCAACATCATACAATCAGCAATTTATGTCAAGAGCCGTTCCATAGGCTCACAATATCATAACAACAAGAATCGTATTAAGTACAAGTGCAGAAACGCAATTCAGTTCAAGACAGATTTGACGTACAGATGCGGAAATACCATATCCGAGGCTACGCTTGTCGGATTAAAACAAAACCTACGCCGTTTCGAAGCTAAGACACAGAGCTACAACATTCACGAAGGTCACTTAGTCCATTTCCTAATGTAACTTAGTCAAAATCTCAGATTACTAAACCAGAAACCAATTCACCGGCAGTTTAAACGCATTATGCTGTAACGGACCTAACTCAGTGTACACAAGTCCGAATCAGGTTTTCTTTGAGGCATTTTAAAGCTACTTCAGAACACTACAACTTTTATGTTTTGGCCCAGAGCTAAATCAGAATGGATCCTGGTCAAAAATCGTGATAAACGGGACTGAACTGAAGAAACGGACTGCTGGGAAATACCTTGAACAGTAAGGGTATTTTGGACTTTTCACATCCTACGTTGCTCCGATTGAGCTGAAATTTTACAGGCACCTACAAAATACCATTCCCTACAACTTTCCTTCTTTGACCAAAGGCCAAAACAGCCTCTAACATATACCTAAAAATTCGGACAGAATGCAAGCAGAAATTTTCCAGATTCTGGAATTTGTTGTTTTTAGTGAATCTTTCCTTAATTTCTTGGCCCAATCACTACCAAAACACCATATAACACCTCAACTGCAACATATAAACATCATACAATCATTTGGGCAGAAAATCAGAAACCCTAGTTCATCACACAAATTGGGGAAAAACTTCTACACATGCTAGCATCCATGAATCTACCACCAATCAAGCTACTAAGCTTACTTTAACCATGATTGAAAGAGAAAGTTAGAGAGATATCATCCTCTTACCTTGATTAAGAGTCACCAAGAGTAGCACAAGCTCTTCCCTTCAAAACTCACACCACCACTCACTAGCTAGTCACTAGAAAACAAGTTTAATCGGTTTACTTCGCTTGATTCCTCACTTATTTGTTGGAGTTGGAGATGAAATGAAGAAATCTTCCTTGGTGTTTCTCTCCTTGCTAAGTTCGGCCAGACCAGCAGAAAATGAAGAAGGAATGGCTAAGTTTTGGACTTAAGTGGTTAGCAATGGTCTTGGTTAAGAAGCCATGAGGTGGTGACAAGTGTCAACATGCTGCCAAGAGAGAAGATATTATGTACAAAAGTCAACAAACTTGTTGGGTAAGAAAAATGGTGGTCAAGCGGTGCGTTCAATCGGTAATGCGCGGGACCCGCCGGTTCGCGCCGTTTTCTTAAAAACTCACGTACTAGGGTTTTTACCTCCCATTCACTAACCTTATATCATTGCTACTACTCACATATTATTTCTCACTTAAAAGTCACCTTTAATCATAAAATTGATCCTTGGCCAGTACCGAAAATTCATCCGGCGGAAAAATCGCAAAAACCCTAATTTTGCTCAAAACTTGAAACCAAAGCGAAAAACCTTATTTTCTAGGTTTATTTACACTTAGTGTGATATAATGAGGTAGGGGGCCTTAATAAATAATAATTTTCAAATAAAAGGCATTTTTGAGGAAAAATGTAGGAAATTTGCGGGTCCTCACATCCTCTCCCCCTTAAAAGAATTTCGACCTCGAAATTCATACCTTTTGTCGCGAACAGGCCAGGATACTTTTCTTGCATATCCGTTTCTAGCTCTCAAGTTGCTTCTTCCACTTCATGATGCTTCCATAGTACCTTTACTAAAGGAATCTGCTTGTTTCTCAAGTCCTTCACCTTTCGATCCAGTATTTGAATAGGTCGTTCTTCATAGGTTAAAGACTCGTCAAGTTCAACATCTTCGGGTGGCAAAATGTGAGTCGGATCCGGATGGTATTTCTTAAGCAAAGAGACGTGGAAAACGTCATGGATCCTAGATAGGCTAGCTGGTAACTCAAGTCGATAAGCCACCTTTCCTATTCGTTGTAGCACATTGAAAGGTCCTATATATCGTGGTTGCAACTTTTTCCCTTTTCCGGATCTAATCTTTCCCTTCAATGGTGTGATCCGAAGAAACACCTTATCTCCTATTTCAAACTCCAAGTCTTTCCTCCTATGATCGGCATAGCTTTTCTGACGGCTTTGGGCGGTTTGAAGTCTCTGGCGGATCACTCTCACCTTTTCATAGGCTTCCTCAACCCATGGTATAGTAGCTGGATCTATGACTTTTCTCTCTCCTACGTCATCCCAATGGATTGGAGATCGACAACGTCGTCCATACAAGGCTTCATATGGGGCCATTTGAATAGAGCAATGGTAACTATTGTTATACGCGAACTCAATCAAAGTCAAGTATTGGCTCCAACTTCCTCCAAAATCCACAATACAGGCTCTCAGCATATCCTCAAGAGTTTGAATAGTTCTCTCAGATTGTCCATCAGTTTGCGGGTGATACGCTGTGCTATAACTCAGCTTAGTTCCTAGAGCCTCTTGTAGTTTCTGCCAGAATCGGGATACAAACCTAGGGTCTCTATCAGATACAATGCTTACTGGTACCCCATGTAGTCTCACTACCTCATCCATATAAATTTTAGCAAGTTTCTCCAAAGGATATTTCATATTTATTGGCAAGAAATGTGCAGTCTTAGTCAATCGATCCACTATTACCCAAATGGCATCATGCCCCTTTTGTGTTCGTGGCAATCCTGACACAAAATCCATCGTTATGTGCTCCCACTTCCACTCAGGGATCTCTAAAGGCTGTAACAAACCTGACGGCTTTTGATGCTCAGCTTTTACCTGTTGGCACGTAAGACATTTTTGCACAAACTGGGCAATCTCCGCTTTCATTTTCTCCCACCAATACAGATTCCTAAGATCTTGATACATTTTATTATTTCCTGGGTGCACCGTATACCTAGAGCAATGTGATTCCTCTAAAATCTCCCTTTTCAATTCCTCATCCCTAGGTACCACGACACGATTTCGAAACTTTAATATTCCATCAGGGCTTAGATTAAAATTAGGTAACTCCCCTTTCTTCACTTTCTCTACCCACTTCTGCACTATTGGATCCTTCACTTGGCCCTCTTTGATTCGTTCCATCACTGCCGATTTTGCCTCAATATTTCCAAAAACCACCTTTTCCGGTTCCAAACGAGGTTTCCACTCACATACATCTTCCAATAGGCTCCACTCTCTCACTATAGAACTTGCTAGTTGAGCCTTCCGGCTTAAAGCATCTGCTACAACGTTGGCCTTTCCAGGATGATAGTTAATTGTACAGTCATAATCCTCTAAGAACTCTACCCACCGACGTTGTCTTAGATTTAACTCCTTCTGAGAGAACAGATACTTAAGGCTCTTATGATCCGTATAAACCTCAAAAGTTACACCATAAAGATAATGTCGCCATTTCTTCAAAGCGAACACTACAGCTGCAAGTTCTAAGTCATGAGTCGGATAATTTTGCTCATGAGTTTTTAACTTTCGGGATGCGTAAGCAATCACATTCCTATTCTGCATCAACACGCACCCTAGCCCTTCTTTTGAAGCATCGGTATAAACCGTATAACTATCCTTTCCACTGGGCAAAGCTAAAACTGGAGCCATAGTCAATTGTTTCTTAAGCTCTTGAAAGCTACTTTCACACTTAACATCCCAATTATATTTTCCTTGTTTCTTGGTCAGGTTAGTCAAGGGTCCTGCAATTCTCGAGAAATTCTTTATAAATCTACGGTAGTATCCTGCTAAGCCTAGAAAACTTCGAACCTCTGTGGGATTTTCTGGCCGCTTCCACTTAGCCACAGCTTCCACTTTCGCCGGGTCTACAGCAAGGCCATCTTTTGAAATTATATGACCTAGAAACGCCACTTCTTCCAACCAAAATTCACACTTACTGAACTTAGCAAATAGTTGGCGCTCTCTTAGGGTTTGCAATACTATCCGCAAATGTTGTTCATGCTCCTCCCTTGACCTCGAATATACCAAGATATCATCAATGAACACCACTACAAACCTATCCAAGTAAGGTTTGAACACTCGATGCATCAGATCCATGAATGCTGCTGGGGCATTGGTTAAACCAAAAGGCATCACTGCGAACTCAAAATGCCCATATCGAGTATTAAACGCCGTTTTTGGCACATCCTCCTTCTTAACTCTCAATTGATAATACCCTTGTCGCAGGTCCAACTTAGAGAATACCACAGCCCCTTGTAACTGATCAAATAACTCATCTATGTGGGGCAAAGGATATTTATTTTTAATGGTTACTGCATTCAATCCTCGATAGTCAATACACAACCTCAAACTTCCGTCTTTCTTTTTAACAAATAACACTGGAGCTCCCCACGGCGACTCGCTCTCATGTATGAACCCCCGTTCTAGCAAGTCCTGTAATTGCACCTTTAATTCCTTAAGCTCAGCAGGTGCCATACGATAAGGGGTTTTAGAGATGGGAGTGGTTCCGGGTACTAAATCAACCTTAAATTCAATCTCCCTTTCGGGTGGCAAAGACTCCAATTCTTCCGGAAATACGTCCGGGTATTCACTGATTACTGGCATGTCTTCCAACTTAGTCTTTTCTCCCGGAGTGTTAATTAGAAAAGCTAGGTAACCACGAGCCCCACGACCAAGCAACTTCCTAGCCCTTATACCCGAAATAAGTGCAGAAGAGGCTATCATACCCCTCACATCAAGCTTTAGAGTTGCCTCTCCTGGTATACAAAATTCGACCACTTTCATCTTACAATCTACCCGAGCATGATAGTGAGCTAGCCAATCCATACCTAGGATAACATCGTACCCCTTAATGGCTAGACTAATGAGATCCACTACCAATTTCCGTTCGCCAATCCAAATATCACAATTCCTATACACCTCATTCGCAAGCAAAATTTGACTACCTGTAGGTGTTCTTACCTCTAAGTCATAAGGTAACCTTTCAACTTTCGAGTCAATTCCAAGCATAAATGCAGGATTAACAAAAGAGTGAGTAGCACCGGGGTCTATTAGAATTCTAGCTAACCGGTGAAAAACAGGGATTGTACCTTCTACCACCCTGGTTGGTTCAGGCACAGTGGTTTGATCTAGCGAGTACACTCTGGCCGGTACCCTCGACCTGGCCCCTCCAGCAGTAGTCGGCTTTGGGTTTGACCTGGCAGTCGACTGAGTGTCATTGATTAGCGGACAATTGACCATCTGATGATCCGCACTTCCGCACCTCAAACACTTTCGAGCCTTTCTCCAGCACTCGTCCTCCGTGTGGTTTGATTTTCCACAATACCCACATGTCACTCGGGGAGTGGAGGTTTGACCTCCCTGAGTAAAACCTCTACCTTGACCTCTACCGCCCTGGCCTCCCCTCTGGGCATTCCCTCTCGGAGCACTGCCCCTAAACGTGTTCGAAAATCGTCCACCTCCGACTCCACGACCGGATTTAGCGGGTGGCATGCTCCGCTCGCCTCGTACCGACCCTTGGGCTCCACTAGGTGCCCCTTTCCGCTTAGCGTGGAAATTCCTTACTTGCGTCCTAGCAGTTTCTATCCTCATGGCCTTCTCCAGAACCTCCGTAAAAGTATTGATTTGGACCGCTGCTAAGGCTTCTTGCAATTCCACATTTAATCCTTGTATAAACCTCCGCACTTTTCTCGGCTCCGTAGCTATCAGTTCGGGAGCAAATTTGGACAACTTGGTAAACTGAGTCTCATACTCAGTTACACTCATCAGTCCCTGACGGAGTTTAATGAATTCGTCCTCTCTCTTCTCCTGGACGATGGGTGGAAGGTATTTTTCGTTGAAGTCCCGTACAAAGTTTAGCCAAGTCCAGGCGGTTTCCTCTCTCTCCCACTTGGCCCTTACTACATTCCACCAAGCCCTAGCTGGCCCTTCAAATTGGAATACGGCAAATTGGACTTGTCTCTCCTCAGTGTAGTTTAGCGCAGCAAAGATATTTACCATGGCCTCCATCCATTTCTCAGCCTCATACGGGTCTGGTCCTCCTAAGAATTTGGGTGGCGAGAATTTCTGGAATCTCTCCAAGGCTCTATCTTGCCCTGAATCAGGGTCTCTAGGTTGATTTACAGAACCTTGACCCTGTTGCTCCACCAACCGAGTCAAAATATTAGTCATCTGTTGGATGGCAGTGGCCACCTGATCTCCCCCGGCAGTCTGGGGTTCAGGTTGCTATTCAACCGCTGCCTCCCTCTCCTCTATCGGTTCAGGCACCTGTTCCTGTACTTGCTCACCCTCACGGCCTCGCCTAGAACCGCGTTCTCGATTAGTTTTCTTGGTCCGACTCCTTTTATCTTCCATATTGAGAGTTACCCAACTAGAAACATGTAAACGGGGTAAGGTACGACTCATATATCGCGTTGCAACAATATAACTAGAGGCAAATAAACACGTAAGAAACAAGCACTTTATTTACATATCAAACAAGTCATATATACAGGCCAACAAGTCACGTAGTCAAAGGCTATAACAGCCAAGGAACATAGAACAAAAGATATTTACATCCACCAGGACACGTCTAAAACAAAAACAAAAGAAGACGTGTCGTCCCACTATGTTCCTAACTAGCCCACAAAAACTCCTAAAACCTCCATCCTAACAAGTGGTCTGGCTAGACGCCGACCCAACTGACTCTGAGGACGCGCTCGGCTCCTCCTCCATGTCCTCCTCAGGATCCTCCTCTGGATCCTCCTCAGGGACACCAGGAGCGGCAGGAGCTGCAGGCGCTTGGCCTTCCTCGGCCAAGTCCTGGATCACGTCCTCAACAAGTGCCTCGCACTCGGTCAGGATGCGGTCAGTCCGGTCTCGTATGTGTCCAACTATGTGCATCAGACGTCCAGTCACCGCATGAGCCTGGTCACGGTAAGCATCAGACTGCTGCTGCTCTGCCAGAACTGCGGCCTCCAACTCGCGTATCCGAGCTCCCTGATCTCGGAGAGTAGCCTGGAGACGCTCTATCTCCGCAAAGCACCTACGATTGGTGCTACCCAATCGTCTCCGATCATCATCTATAGCAAGCACTACTCGGTCAGGGTAAGAGTAGGTCTTCCAGCAATCGCAGCGCCGGATCTTGCGCGCTGGGGACCACCGCTGCACTGGCCCGCCGGGAACCTCCTGGTATGTGATCACGCGGCATACAGGGCCCGCTAAATATGGCTCAACCTCAGGAGCGTCAGTAGGTGCGTCAGTAGGCACCTCAGGCACCTCAGGCACCTCAGTAGGTATCTCGGTCGGAATGTCAGTAGGTGCAGGCTGGGACGGTCCAGCACCCCCAGAAGAGTCAGTGTCTGCCATCACCTAAGTTTGCAAATAACATTGCAAAGGTAAGTACACATCAAGCACAAAACAAGGCTAAGGCTAAACTCGATAATAAAACCCTAGCCTATCAAGTCAAGCACTCAAACTACCCAGATCAATTCAAACCTAAGCTCTGATACCACCTGTGACGGCCCCACCTCTCCCTAAGGCGTACCAAAGGGTTCGGCGGACCGCCTGCCCAGCTCTCGCCAGGACTCACTCACTATCTCAATCGAATCGTATATACACAACCATGCACCATAAACAATATTCACGATTCAACTTATAATTTACATTGATAGGAATCGAGTTTCAAAGTCTTAATACACCAAACTAGTACAAATGTATACAATCCAAGTACAACATATTTCGTTCGAGGAATAGCGCGAGTACAAGACCAAAAAGTCAAAAGTCAAAACAAAAGGCTACACTAGTCTTTTACAAGTCTCTCGCGTTACTCGTACCCCTGTAAGGAAAACAAACTAACGGGGTGAGCCAAAGCTCAGTGGAGTTCCCAAATATCAAATTGGTCAGCAACCAAGTTATAGTAAAATAAAAGTGAAGTAGCGAGCAAGCAAGTCAAATCAGGGAAATAATACTTCAGCTAGTCAAGTAGTATTAGATGCACATTCACATATAAGGATACGGTATTCATGTTACGGCTCCATTCCAGCTTGGTCAAGTGGTAGTTGACACTCCGTCAACTTTCAAGTAATTCCAAGTCCAAATAAACTCCGCTACACGCCAATTTCCGTCCACCGATCAACCCCCTATCCCGGGCCCGCACGCCATACAAACATGGGTGGTAATACTCGAGTATACCGTTAGTCGAGGAGATAACACTCCACTCGACATTACAAGTGACCCAGGGTTTGTTATCTAATCGACCAGGCCCTTGCCGGCTCGACTCGATTAACTCGCCACAGGGTTTCTGGAATTTCAGGCAAGATAAAATTCAAGTACATGTACAACAAGTTAAGTATGATCAATAGCAAGAACAGGTCATATTAGGGCAAGTGCGATAAAGTACACCCTTGCCCTTTCATTCATTGTCATGTAATCACGCAAGTCAAGTAGGGAGTACACATATCAAGTACAATCGGATATTTGGAAGCACTCACCACAATAGTGCTTCTAGTTTTCGCGTCGAGGTGGTACTCCGGGTTGGGAGTCCAAATCTGCGATAAAACTTTACTTGAGAACTTTGAAATCAACCAAGGTTCGAAACTTAAGCGTTTCGTTCAATAAGAATCAAGAATTTGAAAGTCACTGGAGAAGAGTCGTGAAATAGTTGCTCGCTCTTTAAACTGAAAAATTTGATAACATTTTTGCTTGAAGATGACTCTTGAGTCAAAAGTGCAAGTAAAACGGTTTCGTAATGTTTCATATCGTTTTCCTAAGGGTACAAGTTCGGCCAAGTCCTAACATATAACCCTTGATAAACAAATGACAAAGGTCCTCGATAGTTCAAGGATTAATCACTTAACCTTCACTCAAGTCGCAAAGATAGTTTCCTAGACTTCGAGTAAAAATTCGGACAGCGTGCCCTTTGTGTTTACCTAATTTCCAGCCATTTAGGCTTCATTATTTTTCTTCAACAACATCCCAACATCATACAATCAGCAATTTATGTCAAGAGCCGTTCCATAGGCTCACAATATCATAACAACAAGAATCGTATTAAGTACAAGTGCAGAAACGCAATTCAGTTCAAGACAGATTTGACGTACAGATGCGGAAATACCATATCCGAGGCTACGCTTGTCGGATTAAAACAAAACCTACGCCGTTTCGAAGCTAAGACACAGAGCTACAACATTCACGAAGGTCACTTAGTCCATTTCCTAATGTAACTTAGTCAAAATCTCAGATTACTAAACCAGAAACCAATTCACCGGCAGTTTAAACGCATTATGCTGTAACGGACCTAACTCAGTGTACACAAGTCCGAATCAGGTTTTCTTTGAGGCATTTTAAAGCTACTTCAGAACACTACAACTTTTATGTTTTGGCCCAGAGCTAAATCAGAATGAATCCTGGTCAAAAATCGTGATAAACTGGACTGAACTGAAGAAACGGACTGCTGGGAAATACCTTGAACAGTAAGGGTATTTTGGACTTTTCACATCCTACGTTGCTCCGATTGAGCTGAAATTTTACAGGCACCTACAAAATACCATTCCCTACAACTTTCCTTCTTTGACCAAAGGCCAAAACAGCCTCTAACATATACCTAAAAATTCGGACAGAATGCAAGCAGAAATTTTCCAGATTCTGGAATTTGTTGTTTTTAGTGAATCTTTCCTTAATTTCTTGGCCCAATCACTACCAAAACACCATATAACACCTCAACTGCAACATATAAACATCATACAATCATTTGGGCAGAAAATCAGAAACCCTAGTTCATCACACAAATTGGGGAAAAACTTCTACACATGCTAGCATCCATGAATCTACCACCAATCAAGCTACTAAGCTTACTTTAACCATGATTGAAAGAGAAAGTTAGAGAGATATCATCCTCTTACCTTGATTAAGAGTCACCAAGAGTAGCACAAGCTCTTCCCTTCAAAACTCACACCACCACTCACTAGCTAGTCACTAGAAAACAAGTTTAATCGGTTTACTTCGCTTGATTCCTCACTTATTTGTTGGAGTTGGAGATGAAATGAAGAAATCTTCCTTGGTGTTTCTCTCCTTGCTAAGTTCGGCCAGACCAGCAGAAAATGAAGAAGGAATGGCTAAGTTTTGGACTTAAGTGGTTAGCAATGGTCTTGGTTAAGAAGCCATGAGGTGGTGACAAGTGTCACCACCACCACCCTTTCTTTTTCTCTTTCTTTCTTGCCTTTCTTAGCCACAAATTTCGGTCAACATGCTGCCAAGAGAGAAGATATTATGTACAAAAGTCAACAAACTTGTTGGGTAAGAAAAATGGTGGTCAAGCGGTGCGTTCAATCGGTAATGCGCGGGACCCGCCGGTTCGCGCCGTTTTCTTAAAAACTCACGTACTAGGGTTTTTACCTCCCATTCACTAACCTTATATCATTGCTACTACTCACATATTATTTCTCACTTAAAAGTCACCTTTAATCATAAAATTGATCCTTGGCCAGTACCGAAAATTCATCCGGCGGAAAAATCGCAAAAACCCTAATTTTGCTCAAAACTTGAAACCAAAGCGAAAAACCTTATTTTCTAGGTTTATTTACACTTAGTGTGATATAATGAGGTAGGGGGCCTTAATAAATAATAATTTTCAAATAAAAGGCATTTTTGAGGAAAAATGTAGGAAATTTGCGGGTCCTCACAAGTGTAATATCCTTTCTCACATGCATATTATTCTACTTTTTGTCCTATTATTTGTAGGTTTTTAGTTACAAAATTTGTTACCTATAGTCTGCATGTATTGATTCCAATGTACACAGTTGGTTGCTTGTCACATTTTAAAAAAAGAGTGTTTTAATTAAGCAAAAAAAAAAAAAAAGAGTTCAGTTATTGATTTTCAAGGTTACTTAATTGTATGAAAAAAGAGTTTAATTATTTATTGATTTTAAACAACGATTTTAGTGATTAAGGCTTTAATTGAACCTATGAACGATTTTGACATATCTTATATATGTAGTGAATAGCAATTAAGCTTTGCTTAATTATTCTAGTAGGACAGGAAAGAGGTAAGTTTTTATAATTCTTGATGAATTAATCTCGATTTGCTTAGCTTGAGATAATTAGTTTGGCTCTTATCTGTTTTGGTCTTTGGTTCTCTTTGTACACTTCAAATCAATTTCAAGTATTTTCCATGCTAAAGCTTGATTGAGCTCTTGTATTTTCCCTAAAAAATTTCTCTGCGTATGGTATGCAGTACACTACAAGAGTGGCTATCTAACACGACAAGTGAAGCTTGATGCCTTGATCTTTTACTCCCTCCGTCCCACTTTGATAGTTCTGATTCTTTTTTCGTACAGTTTAAGAAAAAATAGTTAACTTTGTTGGAACAATCAATTTAGATAGTTATTTTCCTAAAATACCCTCACATTAATTAGAGTACAACTTTATGGGAACTTGAATTGATGGTAAAAAAATAATAAACTCTCTTTAAATGGGATAGATTTATAGTAACAACAACTTACATTGAATAAGATTATTTTAGAAAAATTAAAATACAACTACATTCTTCAATTGGAAAGTGGACTATAATTTGGGACAGACGAAAAATGAAAACAGGACTATCAAAGTGGGATGGAGGGAGTATTTGTCAAAAAGAAACGGGTGCTAGTACTGTATTAATGGTTAGCTTAATCTTAACGACATGCTATACAAATGAATTAGTTACATTTTTGTCAAGCCTACTAAGAAGACATTAGCATAGTTAGCACATTGATTATGTTCAAGAACTTATAGTATGAATTATGCTTGTGAACATATATATATATATATATATATATATGGGATAATTTCAAAAACCTCCCCTGAGTTTCCTGACATATACCTCCCTTGTCATTTAAAATGACAATTTTACCCTTAAATATTTCAATGAAATCCTCTTATTTTGTATGCTTATACTTAGAATGAGTTTTAAAATTATTTTTTATTCTTTTTCCTTCTTATTCCTTTTTTTTAAAAAAATTTTCGCCAATAAAACTGTAGAACTACCACTATTGCTTCTAGTTTTTATTGTAACCAAATGTCGAACTAGTGATTTTTTGATGAGTTAATTTTATATATAATCCAATGCTTTTGCTAATCTTTGATTTTTATTTTTTGGTACTAAAATTAACAATAAATCAAAAATAAATGGCCCAAAATCACTACCAAATTATGATAATCCTACTACTCAAAAAAATTCATAAACTCTAAATGAATTATTTCAACATTTTCTTTTCTATCTTATAAATCTAAATCCATAATAAAGTACCATCAAAAGTATCCTATCATAGTGATAAAATTATTATTATAGTTGTTTATCAAACAGTAGGAATGGACATGAAAATTTTGGCACATTTTGCTTGTAATTATACTAGATAATCTTATAATTGTATAGGACAATAAATTAAAACTCATTACACAAGGGCATTTTTGGATATTCATTTAAAAAATTGACCAATTCAATATTATTTTAAGATTTTGTTACTAAAACTTTTAAATCAAGGGAGGTAAGTGTAATTTTTCAAACCTCAGGGGAGCTCAATAAAATTATCAAAAATCTCAGAGGAAATTTCAGAAATTATCCCTCTATATATATATATACACGCACAAACACACACACGTACATACACTCAATGAGATGTGCATAAAACTCATCACAAATTGAGCCCTCCAAGTATATACAACTCTGTGATCAGATGACCACTACTACAGAGATAGTAGGGTTTGGTGGCTTGAATGAATTCAAGTAGGTTGCTTAGAGGACTAATACTATTTCGTCTTTAATGTCTTTTGTCCACATATTAATACTTCACGTTTATTTTGACGTACTCTTTATTTCTTTACGTAGAATCAGGTTATATATATATGTGGCTGGCCATGTCCTCATCTATATATATACATGCATGCAAATATTGCGGCCGAAGTTTGCCAGATTTTGCAGAAAGCTAAAAACGTGGAATTTGTTGAACCGAAATTGATTCCTGGATTTGCTTTAACATGTGGTTTCTCCGAAATGCCTTGCTCAAGCTCTTAACCGCCGCCATTAGCATATCCAACCCCTTGCCCTGATTTCATGGCCGCTGCATTTGTTACTCTTTTCCCCACTAATGATTTGATTATGGATAGCTTAAAAGTAAAAACTTTCGTATTTATCTAATTCTTTTCTTTGACAAAAATGGATAGATAGGGGGAAATTAGTAAGGTAAAGAAGAAAAAGAATGATGCCATATTTGATGATATTTTTTTTGTCTTGCAATTTCACAATTCTCGACCTTTATTTAGTTTCCAAAATCGACCTTTATTTCCTTAAAATGGACCGATTTCACCAATAAGAAATAGATTACTTCCTATTCACCATTTCTTAATTAGTTGATGATGTAGGGCATCAAATACAAATACATATTTCTAATTATAGAATGTCTTAATATCTGGAAGGCCCTTTTAATTTTAGATACAATGAATATTTTTCTAATACACCATAAGTTGATTCTTAATTTCTCATAAAAATGGGATGGATGGAGTGTACTAGTTAAGACTCAAGAAAAGCTTCTTCTTGTTTTGATAAGGATTTCCAAGAAGTTAAGCGGGCAAGAATGCTGGAGATTAGGGATAACAAGTTACCAACAGTTGTGATTTTTTTTAAGCTTTATTTGTTTAACTCTTATTATTATTACTATACTATTGATATTCTTTTTTTTTTTTAAATTACTGTTGACGTCAATAATGTAAAGTATTAAAATCAGTGCAATGTCTGAAAAAAGACCTGAAATACAAGTATTAAACATCAAGATTCGGCACATAAAATTAGGTCAAAAAAATAAAACAACTTTCAAGCTTGACAATATGAGCATACACTTGAAAACAAGTTTGTCCATATGAATGAGCTATTGAGCATGACATCTCTAAAAGAATCTTGGGTAGAACATATTGAAGTTAATGATAATTTTTCTCAAGAACCTTTCAAAATTTACATATAAATCTAGTGTTTTCAGAATTAGTATTCATAAAGTGACTATTATTATTTGGATTGTGATTTTCCGCAGAAAATTTTTTACTTTTTTCGTAAAATATTTTCTGATCACCTTTTTATCATACATGCATCAAATTGCTACAGTACATTTCTCTATAAAAACTCCTATTGTGACTTCCCTTACTCTTGTTTTGATTTAATTATTTTCATTGTGTTCCTACTTTTTTTTGCCTTACATGTTAATTTTTCCTTAGAATTTTTCTCTGGAGATTGAAGCCTTCAAATGTACAATTATATAAATTTTAAAGTTGGAAACTAGTATTACCTAAATTCAGTTATGCTATACAGGTTCGTTGTATTAAAGATTTGGTCGGTCACTCAAACCATACCAAAAAAGCAATATAATCATCCCCTATTCCATAAAAAGTAATGACTTTTTAAAGAGAGTTTATATATATACTCAATTAATTACGAAACTAAGGTCTTTCATAGAAGCCACCTCGTATCCCATTATAGCCTTAATCTTTGCAAGCCTATTGGAGAAGTCTCTCTCTCTCTTTCTCCGAGAAAAATGATCAAAATAGATGAGATCATAAGATGAAACTAGATGGATGACAAGAGAAAGATAACGTGAAACACAAGGCTTAAAACTGTCTTTCTAGTGGCTTTAAAAGGTTCATTGGCCTAACAGATAGATTATCAAGTTCAGATGCTAATTTGTATCCCTTCATTCCCTTCCTAACTCTTTCTTTTCAGGATTTATTAGAGTTTGCAAGAAACTCTCATTTGGAACCCAGAAACTCTTCAGTTTCAATTCTTTTCAGAGGAAGACAGCCTTAAACCCTCTACCTCATAAGTTATAGATAAAGAGATCGACATGTGGGCCGGTATCAGAAGATCAAAAAACAATCAAGGTTCGACTCTATGAGCTTCAATCTCGATTTTTAGTTGTTCTTGTTATTGTATTTTATATTATTTTTGCCTCTTTGGGGTTTTGCTGCATGATAAGAGAATATTACAGTACTTAGGATTTCATGGTCCTGACAAAACGTTTCTTCATGGAGTCAAGTAATCGTATAGTCTAGAAAAAGTTTGTTAAGTTTTGGAACTTGGCACGAAGCTTAGCTATTTTTGCTTTTTGGGTAATAAATTTCTTCTCCAAAATTTGCAGATGAATATACTGAAAGAATCGATATTATTAATCAATATTTTCCGTGATTATCTATCCCATGTAATGAATTGTTCAACAATTCATGCTTACCTTGTGATGACAATACCTCCATGCATGAATATTAGCGTTTGGATAACTTAAATAATCTAATCTCCATGGCTTTGTCTCAAAAAACTTCTGACTTTAATCTATGAGTAGTTGCTATCTAGTTCAATTGGTTTCATCTTATTTCGTGATCATCCTGTATAAAGTTAGTTCAAACCTTTCATTGATTTTCCTCAGATAAGAAGGAGATGATAAGGGAATCATGTAGAAATCTTAGTGTGAACGAGGAGTACCTTGGAGCATTAAGAACAAAATCGTATACAGAATTTTTCAGCAAAGCTCAGACTCTAGTTAATCAGCCATCTTTTCTTAATTACTGCAATCAGAGGTTTTCAGATACTCTTCTTGAACCCGGACAAGAAACCATAGCAACAATTCTGGAATCAGCAGTATCTCTTTCAAGAAAATCTGATCTCAGAGCCCTTCTCTTCAATTACTTTGATATTAGTGCTGAGGCTTCAAAAATTTGCAGCCATCTTCTGAGAAGCATTAATCAACTTCAATCCAATTACCAGCTTGTTAAACAAGTTCTCGACACGATCGATGACCATTCCCCCGAGCAATTAGGATTCATCGTTCCTGAGCTTCGTGAACTAATTTCGCTCAACAATCCATTATCTGGTCTGAATCAACAAGATTTCATCCGAATCCACGACAAGTATTCATCAGTCCTACAACATTTGAAAGCAAAGCGAAAAAGAATTTCTCGGAAAATCAAGCTAATAAAATGCTTCAACAAGGCTTCTGGAGCATGTGTCACGACAGCCTGTGGTGTAGTTGCAGTTGCAGCAGTAGTCCTAGCAGCAGCACATACACTTGTCGCATTGACAATGGGACCAGCTCTCTTTACTTTGCCACTGCAGCCACTGAGGAAAAAACTTCTCAAAATTAGTGCTGTGAAATGTGGATTTCTAAGAAAATTTGGAGAACAACTTGATGTTGCAGCAAAAGGGACGTACATTTTGAATAGAGATTTTGATACAATGAGTAGACTTGTGGTTAGGCTTCATGATGAAATTGAACATACCAAGGCAATGATACAATTCTTTTTAGATAGAAGAGAAGATAAATATTCTTGGCAAATACTGAAGGAGCTTAAGAAGAAGGATTTTGGGTTCAGGAAACAAGTTGAGGAGCTTGAAGAACATGTGTATTTGTGCCTTGTCACAATTAATCGGGCTAGAGTTTTGGTTGTCACTGAAATTGCCAAGTCTTGCCAGGAAAATTCAGTCTAGTAATTTAGAAACCAATTCTTTTTCATTTCTAAGCTGCCAGCCACCAATTCCTTGTTTATTAAATAGCAATCTATTTGTAGATAGGATATCAGGCTTATTCCATTGTAAATAGTAATATTTCTTATTTGTTTCATTTATGGAGTGATATAATGGCTATTCTTTGATTTTTTTTTTAAACATTTGTATCTGCACAAGTTAAGGAGTCATACTCAGAGGTATATTCTTTGACCTAAACAAGCTCATGGCATTGAACAAAGAAAAGCGATTGAAAATACCAAGTTTGTTCCACGGTTACAATTCCACATTTACAATAACAGGTTGAAATTTTACAAAATTCGCAATTGGCATTTACATCAGATAAAATTTTGTAGAGAGCACTAATAAAGCATAACGTAGGTAACTAATCATATTCAAGTCGAACTCGAGCAAGGCAACGTTGATACCTAACTCCATTTACTTGCACTCCTAATGTAATGCAAGAAGGTGTGGACTAAAAAGCATGTCCCATAGCATGCATTTATTTTTTGGTTAGCTGTTGAAAGAGATTAGTTGGAAAGATTGATTGCAGGATTGGAGTTTTAAAGCATAATTATAGATCCCCTTTCTTTATTTTGCTGGAAATTTATTATCTTTAATTAATCTTCATTTTGTCCTTTCAATGCTTGCCTGTGGAAAGAACAAGAAAATTTTTTGATTAATAGAGGCGATTTTGGCAGTGATGTTGAATTGCACTATGACAGTAGTGTTTCTAGAAAACAGAAAGATTTTGACCTTTGTATGTATTTAGTAGTCTTATGGTCCATTTTTACGTCCTAAATATTTTCCGATTGATGTATTTGTATGAGGGGAAAATGTATATATCCACAAAATTTTAACTCGAGGGCAAATAATAAATATCCATAAAACTTGCCCTGGGGAGGGGGGGGGGGGGGGGAGGGCGGAGGCTACTTTTCATTTAATGTACAAATATATTATGTTATAGACAATTACCACGTAGCCCTAGAAGAGGCATCCATCCATCCAGCCAGCAACTGCGTTGTATTTTGTCTACAAATGTGAAGCAAGTTATTCGGACATTTTGGTACTTCCACATCTAATTATATACCTATTCAATTAATTCCCCCACCTATGAATATTCTTGGGATAATTTTTGAAAAATATACTGTAATAATTTTTTGAAAAATATACTGTAACATTTTTTTTGATGTGATGTATGTAAGATAAAAAAGGTAATTAAAAAATGTGTTAATGATATAAGCAAATAAATTTTTGCAAATAAATCACTATCCAAACAAACCCATTTCCTTTGCTAGTTTTCCCAAAATTTGCTAGCATTTTACTCCATTGATGCTAAAATGGTAAAAAAAAAAAAAATTCACATCGATTTATAATATCGATGCCAAAAAACAAAACATGGAAACATCAGTTAGACAAAAATCACAATAGATTAGAAAATTCAAATTAAAAGGATTTTTTCGGCCGGTGTCTAGTTCATTGGACAGTCATTAACACATTTAAATTGCACCTAACTTATCAAAATTATTAAATGCATTTAGATACTTAGATACTTTTTCAAATCAATTACACTTTTTCAATAAATTAACACTTAAGACTCATTGAATTTTTTTTTTTGCCACAAGAATATGGGTTGGTCCAATTGGCTTTTGACAAACATTTAGTACAACCTTGTTCTTCTTTGAGATCATCAATGTTTACCGTGTGGGATCTGTCTGTCTGTCAAAACCATAGGCCATTGGACATGTATCAGCCTGGACCTATTTCTTGAGCATCTTTAACTGCTGGCCAACTACTAGAAGAATCCCAATTTTCTTTTACCGAAATTAAAGGAAAAGAAAATCTCAATCCTCTAAGCGAATCAAAATTGCCCCCAGAAAATAAAATGGAAAAGGAAAAACTTTCTTAACTTTCAGCTGCCAATTATTTTTTTGTATGCCAAGCATTAATATCTAAATAATGCGAGATTTTCTCTTTTCTACAATTATGCATTTTCCCCTCGATCACAGTCTACTCAATCTGCTTGAATGAGACCTTATTTTCCATATTTTTTTCTATTCTTGACTTTTTCAGTTTCAACCAAAAGTCCTTCTTCTACTCGTTTCTTTTCCCATTTAAGAGTTATAGAATAAATTATAGAGAACTTTTCACTTGCTTTTTCTACTAAATAATTTTAATTATTTTCTCCCCTTGCGTCATTAGTCAAACTCATTAAACTTCTTGAATAAGTTTATTAATCATTGCTTTCCCCAAAACTAAGGAAGCTTGCAGCATTTTTTTCTGCTCCATTTCCCTCCGAAAAGGTCTACTTCAAGGTATTAGCTCAACCATCAACCCCGAAATCTCATTTTCTAATTCAAGAATTGTTCTCTTTTTACTAGTTTTAAAGTTTAGTACTCAAGTATTATCGCATGTTTCTTGAATTGTTCACTGAAAATAGGAAAGGGAAGATTTTACTTGATTGATCTTGACGGTATAACTTATTTGAAGCCCTTTAATCTATTGATTAAGCAGTGTTTTTGGCTGCTGGGGGTGTAAAGTGTGATTCTTTATTGGTGTTTGTTGAATATCTTTCGAGGTCTAATGCTTTAATTGCTGTACCAAACGTTCTACGCGTGATGTTGACTGGTTGATTTGTAGTACTATTTAAGTTAGTTTATGAGCAAAAAGGTTAGTTAATGAGCTAAAAGGACAGGCTATACAGCTTGATTTGCTTCTTTTTGTGGACTCTTATTGGTTATCTTGCTCGACCATTTTGGTGCTCTTTCCCATTTTCAGCCTCCCCTTAATTTATATGCTTGCATATTCGTTACGTATAAGGATGAGGAATTTTTTTTTTTTTTTTGGTGAAGGGATTTTGGAGTTCTGGGGTTCTCGCATTTGTTTGTGTTCTGCTAGTTCTCTGTGTTGGATGTAAAGAACTGATTTTGGAGGGTTTTGGTGGTGTTTCAGCATCAATTTTTCGTCAGTTACTTACCTGAGGTATTTTTGAAGGAATCTGAATTCGAAATGTTCTGAGTTTTATAAGCTTTCTGGATCAGTCAGATGAAATGGATACCAATGGGTCTGCTAAACCGTCAGTTTATGTGGAAAACAAAGGGAAAAGAGACCAGGTGGTAGAGAACAAGTTAGACCAAACCCATGATGGTAGTAACCTATTGGTTGGCTTAGAGAGGAAGCCTAAGGGTGAGCGATGTAATGCTGGTGCAGCAAATGGAAGAGGGAGAGAGCAGAAATATACACTGGAAGAAGCGGCTGCTAATTCTGCAGGGAAGTCTAGTGTCAGGTTGTTTGATGGATTAGATGAGCAGGGAACTAGTAGAGGCGACAATAGTCTTTTGGATGATGAGCAGTCTGAGGCATGTTCTACTCCTGAAGTAGACTCCCAGAGGAAACCACTGCAGCAGCATTCATCAGTCCTTGAGATTTCCCACTCGAAGGACCCTCCTGTGATCCGATCACAGCGGGCACGGAGAGGTTAGAAATTGGAATTTTCTCTTTGTCTGGATATTTATTTGCTTGCTTTTCTTGTTCTCTTTATTTTTCCTTATTGTCATTATTTGGCTTTCAATTCCTAGTCCCATAAGTTCTGATTCTTCACTTGGAAAATAATTGGTCTTGCCCTCGTGGTTGTCCCTCAAGAACTGGAAACTTGTCAACTATGTATAGCAGGTGAGGAGAGATGGAACAAAGAATAAAAAGGATTTTCCATCCTTGAGAACAAAGACTATTGTTTGCTATATGATTTTCAATTGAAATTTCTCCAAAAAAAAAGTCATATGAAAATTGGGAAGCAATTTTTCTGAATCTAGGCTACATCCATCTCATATAATTTCTATTTCAATTAGATGCTTTTGTGATTAGTTGGAAGAAGTAACTGCTCAGTGCTAAATATATTTTCTGTTGTTCCTGATTACCCGTCCTTCTGGAAGAAGCCAATAGCATCATCATGACATCTTTGCCCCTTTACAGTGTTATTTGGGAAAGTGTAGTTCTTCATGCCAGCCATCTGATGAAACAGGCTTTCAGAACAATCTCTTATTGAGATTTAGAGCTTTCAATAAGACTTCTAGGTTGAACTCTTATAATGTGACCTAATAACTACAGCATTCAGTTTGCAAATTTGAGATTTAACTGTCAAAAACTTTTTGTTTGGACCATCCGATTAATGTATGCTCATCATGAGATTATTTCTTCTCTCTCCTCCTCCCTCCCGCTCTCCCTCTCCGTCCCCTCCTCCCTCCTCTCTCTCTCCTCTTTTTCCCCCTTTTCGATCTTAAATTTTGTTTATTTGATTATTTTTCAATCTACCTTAAGGTTTTGACCGATGCATCACTGACCTTATGGGAAGTCCTAGAAATGTCTCCCTTGGAAACCGAAGAATTGGTTATTCAAGATCCATGGTTGAGAAGAAAGGGAGTCCTATGTATGACCCAAAGCTGGATAGGCTGTCCAAAAGTGAGAAGGTGACCATGGATATCACTACTATTTTTTCATTACAATTTCTTGTTTTCTGTTCATTTTTATTGTTAAATTTCAAGTTGCATAATTGCTATTTTAAGGATATTGTTTACTTCTTTCACAATGTTAAACGGCCTTCTAAGCACTTGCCTAAGTAGTTAAGCAGGTTGCAAACATATCCCCTTTTATAAGAGAATAAGAATATGTTTTTCTGTTTTCTCTTCCCTTAGGTGTGTATGGTCATGCATACTCGTATTACTTTTTGTACATTGGCAAGGGTACTGTGTTTGGCCTTTCAGGAATGGCTAATTATGGACCTAGTGAAGTTCCAAAATGACGGGACAGTGGAAGTTGATCTGACTAGGGGTTCACCTGGAGCGTCTGAACTGTTAGAGCTTAGCTCACTTGAAGGACCTCCTCCTATTTTAGATGATATTGTCACTGATTTCAACAAAACAATTCCCAAATTGAAGATTGCTATGCTTGTGGTTGGAACAAGAGGAGATGTGCAGCCATTTCTAGCC